CCCCAAAACCCCAAAACCCCAAAACCCCAAAACCCCAAAACCCCGTGGAGATTAATTGTGAAAATTATGATATATTGAAGAAATATCTAATTACTGTTATATATTCTTTTAAATTCCAAACAACTTTCAAAACCTAACCTACCAGCTACCATTCAAATAAAATGGGTTGTAATTCATCTAAAGACGGTAAATAACCAAACACAAAGAAAATTGGGAAAAAGGGAGCTCAAGCTTCCCCACAAAGAAGCCCTAGAAAGAGAGATCACAGTCCTAGCAATTTTAAGGCAGTAAATGAGGCTGAACTCCAAAAGCACAAACCTCAAGACATCTTAGGATTTATAAAAACCGGAAACGTCAGCATGGTCCATGCACTTATCAATCACTATAAATTAGGATAGGCTGTTATATTATTAACCGGAGACAAGGATGGATTTTCATTTACAAAGACTGCTGAAGGCTAAGTTTCAACAACTAATTGGAATCCAATCTTGCTAGCTATCCGCTATAAATAATATGAAGTCTTAAGATACTTAGTTGAGACTCAGAAGATAGCAATAAGACATGCAGGAAAGCAACCAGGCAGTGAAGGAGGCAAGAGTGCAGATGAGATGGCAGGATAGCAAGTTTACTCAGTTTTGATTTCAATCGCTAACAAAGACTTGAAGATATTCAGTTATTTGTGGGATATTTACACAGCTTGGGATGAAACTCATCTCTAAAGAGTAATCAAGGAATTAGTTAATGAGAAATGGCACCAAGGTCTTTCATACCTATTGAAATCATTCACAACAGAGATTATATTCAACTCGTAACTGCCAGAGAAGTAAATTGAAATTGTTAGAGCTTGGTATGGATTAAGATCATAAGAAACTCCAGATATTAAAAAAGCATTTGATGAGGTCCTATAATCAAGACCATATGCTATCTCCACAATATATGTCCAATTATCAGATAAGTCGGACCAATTATTGAGTAGACCTGAAAAACTTGCTCACCTGACTAAAGCAATATAATTCCTAGACGGTCATCCTCTAGCCCAGTTTAAATTCAGTGATGAATCATATCTCTTCTATGAATTGCAAGATAAGATTGCTTAATTCGATCAATTAGGGGAAAAAGAAAAAGCTTTAATGGCCACTCTTAGTGAAACTATCACTAATAGATTAGAGGAAGTCTCAACTGTAGAGGACTATAAGGATTAAGAAGCATTTGATGATTCAACAAATGCTCTCATTGAAGCTTATAAATCTGCCAAACTTGAGTAAATCAGAGCTGCTCATGAGCAGAGAGAAAGAAAAAGAGTACCTCAAGCATAGGGTTCAAATCACGTAGTAGATTTTGAAGAACTCAATCGAATGCCATATTTCTACTGGACTGGTTTAGCTCAAATGATTTGGTAATCTGAAAATAATATAGAAGAAGATCAGATTGAAGTCTTCAAATATATTTTGACAGGAGGTTTTAACATTAGATAAGCCTTGCTACAGACAAACTTAAAAGGAAAGAACACAGATGATGTTCCAAGAGTCCCACCAAATCTTGGTAACTGTCTCATTCTGACTCTTAACAAACTAAGATTCAATCTGTATGAGTATCTATGGAGCGTTGAATGGATCAATGTTTGGGGACCAAAACATTTCACAATGATCACAGACATTATCTCAAGATAACAGGAAAATTTTGAGAAATTATAGTTACTTCTTGACCATCACTTAAACAGTCCAGTAGGTACCAATCTATTCCTCGATATGACAGTTAGTTAAAGATTTGCTTTTGTCTAGAAAATCTATAACAACTTTGGTAGATCATATGATGTTTAGCAATGCTTAAGCAAGAGACACTATGCTCCATATCTACTTTTGTTACTCACTGAAAGAGACACATTTATGAGAACTAGCAATTTTTCTCTATATAACTAAGCTTTAGGTAATACTACCAAGCTAGAACTAGAAATTATAGCTAATGCTTCAGATGAACATGAGGAAAGATTCATGAAATTCCTAAGATATATTGACATGCTTGAATAAACAGACTAGAAAAAGGTGGAAGGCAAAAAGTTTATTTCCATGATATTTGATATTGCCAAATTCCAAGCTTATAATGGAATTAGTCTCAACATTTTGGATCATGAATCACGAATTCAAGATGAGGAGTAAAACGGAGCTGATGATGTATAAGGATTTGACGATGAAGATCATCATGATGCTAGAGCAGGCAAAGCCATTCATTAAAGCACTCTTGCAAAGAAAAATCCAAAGGACTTCGATCTCTAAGCATTCCACAAACACCTTCACTCAGGAAAACAAGATCAGATTATAGATCATATCAAACAGTTTAAATTTACTGACTTACTGTATTTTAGAGGGTCACCTAATCTTAGTCTTAAAACTTATCTAATGAAGCTCAATGATCTTAAATTGGTAAATCTTAAATATGACTAATTGACTCTATTGCAAGTAGCAATCCTGAACAAGTCTCATAAATTGGTTAGTTTTATCCTCAATGAATATAAAGTGATGAACGCACTTAGAGAAATCAAAGCGATTGACTAGAGATATCTTACTGTTAGTCCAAATGGAGAAGATAACACTCTCACACTTAGACTACTAGATCAAGTTAATGAATAAGGCTTGCTATGGAACTTATGGTCTAACAGAGCTAATTACACTCCCAGAGATCTGTTAATTATGGCTAAGTATTATTTGCGATCACAAAACAGTGAAAATTTCAAGAATCTATTATATTCAGGGACTTCATAATATCTCTACTAAGAGATGAGTGCAAAGCTTAGATAAGAATTTTACCTAGTTATTTCAGCAACCTAAGAATGGGATAGCTTTCCTGAAATTGATCAAATCTACTCTACATATAAGGATCTTGGAGAGGATACTTATTACCAACTCTCTCAATAAATTTTCCAAGCTATTGAGAATGATGATGGTTAATTGCTTAAGAGCATCATAGAGGATAACTCCATCAGATCTTTGAACAGCATTTCTTTGTAGGATTATGTTGAAGATAAATTGGTGCTAGATATTCCAGGGGATGATGATATTTTTGTTAGACATTTGAATGTTCTATTATACTCTGTTTATATGAAGAAACCAAAGGCAGTGAAAGCTATTGTTGAGTCTCCTTGCTTGAGAGCACTTTAGGGTTATGATGACCTCGGAAATGACATTTCAGTGACAACTCAAACATAGCATCATCATCATTTCAGCAGCATGCTCATCCCAATTCTAATTGCTTCAAAAGACACTGAAATTCTCAACATCTTGCTCAAGGGTGATCACATCCTTCTCAGTTATTAAGATTGCCTATCTTTTATCAACTGGTCAGTTAGAGAGAACTTCTTACTAGGCCTCAAAATTTTCTTGACTTCTCCATCTGTGCATTTCTACTATCAAACCTTCACTCATGAAAATCAAAGAGAACTTATTCATGCCATCCTCAAAGCAGTTCTATATTAGACTGAGAATGCTGAACTAAAGAAAACTTAATTCCATAGTTTAGTTGAAGAACAGCTAACCAAGAGGCCATACAGTTAAATGCTCACTCTTTTGTTCATGGAGGACCCTCAACTTAATGATGGCAAGTTTGACTTAGCCTAAGTAGTGAGAAACTGCAACAAAACTGTTTCTAGCGAAGATCTTATGCAACTAGGTCAATCGCATACTCAGAAGATGAATCAGTTTGAACAGAGATATATCTAAGAAGGAAACACTTTTGAAGGTGAACTCTCGAAAATTATTAGAAGATATATAGCTGATTCAAAATTCGTAAAAGACCTGCCAAGTCAGCCAGCATCATCAACTGATATTAGAAAGTAGGTTAGATTCGATGAAAATGATGATAACTAGCCACTTAGAATTGAGGCTGAAAACAGAGTCTGATTATTATCTATCATACATTTAAGAAAGCTAATAGTGCATAAATGAATTCTAACTTAAATAACCATAAATCTTCTAAGTTTATCAGTTTAAAGGGGTTTTGGGGTTTTGGGGTTTTGGGGTTTTGTGGTTCAGAGATCTAAGTGCTCCAG